TTTGAAATTTTCCCAGAATTAGACTTTTTTCGAAAAAATAATATTACTTGCTGTTAAAGCATAGCGGTGGAGACCGCTTCACTGACACTTCTCTTAATCATTTCGTTCTGAAACACTATGAATTTTGGCGTCCAGTGTATGTGATCTGTGCAACATGTGTCGTGATTGAAGTGGTGCATGTTGTTATTGTTAATTGCTATTTTCATGCCTGTTTTTCCTGGATTTCGGCTATCCCCCCAAAAAAAAGGCTTATATTTAGGTTCGAGAGAATGCAAACGATATGATTGGATTGCTAAAGGACAAAGTACATTCGATGGCGGTGAGTAGCGCAGTGCCATCATTCCTTATTTCTTAAATTTTTCGAAAATCCATGCGCAAAAACGAATCGATTACTGAACGAGGAAAAAAGGCAGGTAGAGATCTTTTTTTGTAGCTCAAGGAACGTCTCGGACGTTTAACTCCGAAGGATATTCGACGTGCCTCCGCCAAGAAATGGCAGCCTTTCAATGATGACACAGTTCTGTCGTTCGACACCACACAATGGGTTAGCGATAATAGTGAAACGACAACAGCCACTGCTGCTGAGGTAAAATATTACTTTCCTGAGGGAAAGTAGTTATTTATAAGTAGAAATTGAAGTGACTGAGAGCACTAAGTCCAATCGACGACAACTAGGAAACGTTTAGCCTTCGCTTAAACGCAGCTTCACCTTCCCTGGAAGAATTTTGCAAAAAAGCGGGAACTGATTTTACAGGATTTGTTCAAAACATTGGCGGACCTAGCCTGCCCTTCCCCCCTCCCCTCCTTGGCGGTGCGGGTAGCAGTGCCAAAGCTGAAGAAAACTCTCTTCCACACCCTCCGTCGCTCTCCCCCCTCCTTCCGGTCACCGCCTTACCAATAGCCTCACTTCCCTTCCTCTCTCGCCGTTGCAGGCCGCCCTGGGTTCGCCTATGATTCAAAGGGCATGCAAATCGAAACGAATTTCCAGTTAAGTGAGTGTGGGAAGGCGGGGGAGAGGGAGGGGACGAGTCTTCCCCTGGGAGTTAAACGCTGGTGGAAATGGTCGCCTAGCGCCAAATCAGTGTTTTTCAGGCTGTGACCCCAGTCCCCGAAACAGT